CCATGTCTCTGCTTGATTTGATGCTTTGATTCTTAAAGCTTTGTACACGACTTTCAAAAATAGAAAGAAAAAAGCTTCGTACACGACTTTCAAAAAAACAAAGAAAAAAAGCTTCATACACGTGATTTAGATGTCCCGCTTTTTTTTTGGAGGTTAGATGTCCCGCTAATACTTGATAATCCGATAATGAAGGAATCAAACAAATATACATATTATGAAACGACGGTAGTTTTTTTTTTAGTCAGAAAAAGTTTAGGTGGAGGTAAGCATCGATATGGCGGTATCTCACCAGAATCAAGGAAGATCTTTCAATCTCTTTCAGAATTTTCGGAAAGAATTATATATCGCCCACCAAAGTGAATTTCACATCGACCAGCGGAGTTCGAACTGCCATTCTTCTTGAGACAATAACCAACTGTGCCAAACCTCTTAGTTTTACTTGATGTATAAGAATTAAGTATATGAAGATTAAAATATGTGTTTAATTCTTTTTAATATTATTTTTAAAAAAAAATTAAAATCTTAATTTTGAACCTATTCGAACACTGAATTGATTCATAAAAAAATCTATAGAATCATTGGAGCAAATATAAAAAAAATAAAATAACAAGTATACATACTGCGGAGTTTATTTATTTCATTTAAGTTCAACTGTAAATAGTTCTGCCAATAATGCAATTAGCTTATCATCAAGATTCCCTCATTTGATTGATGTTAATACAATTTTACATAATAAATTCCATTCTTATTTTTTAAAAGTAAAATAACCTTTGTGCATATTCTCACTTTCATGTAACCTTATATCTTCCTCATTTTGTAACATACACCTTATAACGTTTTATCCTTAATTTCCTTATTTGTTACTCATATTTCTTTAATTAACATTAGACATGAAGATATATTTATAAATCACCAGTAAAATACTCTTTTATCAATGAAATTAATTTTAAAAATTTTTAAAACTAAAATTCTTAAATTCTTAAATCTTTTATATTTTAATTTAATTTTCATTATTAATAAAATAATATTCTATTAATTAAAATAATAGTTTTTAAATAATTTTATATTTAAAAATATCCGTAAATATATATATGGAGTTAATTTCCGGAAGGTTGTGACTTATGAGCCTGCCGGCAACTTGTCGCTTGTGTTTCTGTTCAAGCATGTAGACAAATGCGAACGATTCTAATGCACAATTCACAAAAGCCCCCCCAAAACAAAAATCATTATGCTGCTGACCTTGGACCAATTACAATCTATGAAGCCAACACTCTATGGATTTTCTGGTAGGAAGAGCTATCTTTCAGGAAAAATTAATGAGGTCTAATGATAAGTTAAACTATAAGCAAAGACAAGATAGAAACAGAAACACCATGATTTTGATAATGGCGCTAACTAATTAAACTCCCTCTTCCATTTCTTTACCTTTACGAATCAGGAAGAGTGAATTTACTCTCACAAACTCAATGTTCCAAGCAGGTGTAACAAATGACTATATAGTTTGCATTATGGCGCTAAATTACTTTATTTTGTGATATCATACCCTACACTTTACAAAAGCAGCATATGTAATCATGTTTGTTTTATGGGATATGATATTGTAACAATCAATTAATGTTACTACTAATCAATTTCACCGTTAGATCGATTATATTGATCCAACGGTTATATTTATTTTCATCTTTGTATGGTTACGATCTATATAGCACTGATACTGACACGGGACACGTGACACGATACGACACGACACTTCGACACGTTAATTTTAAAAAATGTTAGATTTCGACACGTTAGGACACGTTTTGATATTAAATAATATTTCTAATATAAAAAAATATAACAAAAAAACATTCATAAATTTGAACCTAATAGTTGGAATTTTGTATTTCATATTCAATAATTTAACAAAAAAATGTATCTAAACTTATAATATTCATAAATTTTGTAAAGAAACATAAATATCCCAAATATTTATATTAAACTCAATAAAATGGTAATCGTAATCCCACGAATCTAATAGTTGGAACTAAAAACTCAACGCAACTTAACATTTGAACCTTTTTTTGAATTTCTATAATGCGTGTTGAAGTGTCGGGGAGTGTCCGAGTGTCCGAGAGTGTCGAGAAGTGTCGGACACGACACGTCAGTATTTTTGAAGTGTCGGTGCTTCATAGGTTATGATTTTCCAAATTTAATGTGAAAGCATTAAATATAAGAAATCATGACCATACAAAGGTGAAAATAAATATAAAGTATTAAATTTGGTGAATCATAATCATACACAGATGAAAATAAATATAACCGTTAGATTAATATAATCGATCTAACGGTGAAATTGATTGATAATAGCATTAATTGGTTGTTACAATATCTTACCCCTTGTCTTATTGTTTATACTTTATATAATATGGTCCACCATTCTGGATATATAACAAAAACAAAGACGAATAATAGTTGCCTGAGGGCTACAAAGGCCAATAATCAAATCTCAAACCTGCGCGCAATTTTCTCAATTGGAGACATGGCGTCCACTACTTATCAGACTTCACAGACCCATGGTATCTGCAAAATATAGCAATTTTTTCAAACTTTTTGTCATACTATAACTATAGAGAAAATTGAAGAAAAAAGGAGACCGTATTTGTCAAAAAGGATAGGAAGAAAAGTTAGTAGCAAATTGTCTAATTGACATCTTTATTTATTTCTGCATGTTGTATACTTGTATCATTGTTTTTTTTTTTTTTTTATAACAACTTGTATCATTGTTTTAGGTACAGTGACTGTGACACATTTTTGATATTTATATATCAAATTACTATGCGTTGAAGTTTGCTAAGTGAAAATAAATTTTGTAGCCAATAATTTCTTCACATGTGGCATATTTTCACAGAAAAAGCTGACTATTACATATCGAATTTCGCTATGACTAGTAGCGAACTTGTTAGCCAATTATTTTGTTACACGTGATACACTTTCACAAAAAAACTAACTAGACTAAATTTGCTATCAGGGGTAACGAACTTGGTGCATTGTGTGACACACAATCTCGTTGCCCGATCAGAATTAATGTATTAATCACAATAAAAAAAAAAGAAAACGAAGGAAAATGACTATTTAATTAATGTACCAATCACAATTAATGTATCAATCATTAATCACAATTAATGTACCAATCACCAATTACAGTTAACTTTGATCATAATTAATATACCAATCATCAATCACAATTGATGTACCAATCATAATTAATTTTTATTGATACATTAATTGTGATTGATGATTGATACATTAATTGTTTATGATGCCATTGTTACAAATTTAAACGATATTTGTAAAAGATAAAATAATGCAAATGAGGTGTCATTGCGTAGATCACAAAAAGTCATGTGAAATAAAATAAAAAATCACCTGATTTAGATATCTAAATGAAAAGTTATAGCCTTCTGAAGTGATTGGTTATTGGTACATTAATTGTAATTGGTATAACCAAAAGTTCATCCCATTGGTACACTAATTGTGATTGGTGATTGGTACATTAATTGTGATTGATAATTGATACATTAATTGTGATTAATACATTAATTAAAGAGGAGGGATATCCTCACTACCAAAATTTTCCACTACCAACTTACTACCTATCTAATCACCATTGGATTAATATTTTCTCTCTCTTCAATTTTTTTTTAGCATTCTATCTCTTTGATCCAATGGTAGTTAGATAGGTAGTAAGTTGGTAGTGAAAAATTTTGATAGTGAGAATATCCTCCCTCTTAATTAAATAGCTATTTTTCTTCATTTTTTTTCTTTTTTTTATTGTGATTAGTACATTAATTAAATAGTAATTTTCCTTCATTTTTTTCTTTTTTTATTGTGATTGGTACGTTAATTGTGATTGATACATTAATTGTAATTGGTGATTGATACATTAATTGTGGTCAAAATTAATTGTGATTGGTGATTGGTACATTAATTATGATTAATATATTAATTAAATTGCCTATTTTTTTGTTTTCTTTTTTTATTATGATTGATACATTAATTGTGATTGATACATTAATTGTAATTGGTGATTGGTACATTAGTTGTGATTAGTACATTCAGCTTTTTCTGTGAAGATATACCGCATATCACTAAATTATTACTACCAAATTCGCTATCAGTCGTAGCGAACTTAGACATGTGGACGTGGCCGTCAATTTTTTTTGCCAAAATATATCACATGTCACGAAATTATTGACTACTACCAGCCGAGCAAACTTCAAAGTGTAACAGTATAGTAAAATATACTATTTGCATGACAGATTGATAAATTTTTTGCCAAAAACGTGACAATCTGATCATTGTTCCATTGTTTTATGTAATTAAATCCATCCAATCAAATCATTAATATAATAAATTATACATTCTTAATATTTAATTGAATATAACTTTGGATATCTCAGCTGATAATTGAAGACTAATCCCCTAAAACATAAAGATTACCTAAATGAGTTTTTCTTTTACCAACGCCTTTTCCATACGATCAGAAATCGAATCCTATTTGATTTAATATTTAATTAAATCAAAACACTTGCAAATCCAAGATAATAGTTTCACACTGCCTCGCCTTCTTGTTCATCCGACCGTTTCCGTCGGCTCAACAACAAAACGAAATTAACGGCACCAAAAAAAAAGGAAAAAAACAAAAACAAAACCTTATGTACACCCATTGGCTTCTACATAAGGACACGCGCGGGCACATGCGGAATTAACGCCTCAACCGACGGTGGGACCCAACTCAGTGGCACATTTCGTAAATATACGCAAAACAAATGGATGATAAGGTCCAAAATAGTTATTCCGTTGAGCTGGACCCCACCTCGTTGGGCTTCTATAAAGAAACCCAAAATCCCTTTAACGGTCTCATAAAACATCGTTGTTGCAACTGTTTTTCTCGAGTTCCGAGATCGCCAGAGCTGACTCTCTTAGCGGCGCGTGGACACATTTCGCACTCACTGACAATGCAGCGCCACCATGTCTCCGCCGTGTCTTTTTTAATCTTATTCTTCTTCAGACTCATGCTAGTATGCGGTGAGGGACAACCTCAGAGCAGTGTCCTCGATCGACATTGGTATCCAGGAACCGCCACCTGGTACGGCGACCCGGAAGGAGACGGTAGCACTGGTAATTAAAGACCAGGGACTGACTCGCTGAGTTGACTCAACGAGTAGAGTTAGTTATAAGAGTTATATATAATTAAGCACATAAAATAACTATATGTTCTATGTTTATAATTAATATTATTAATGTTAATGAGTTATGTTTGTGAAGGAGGAGCATGTGGGTATGGTAGCTTGGTGAACGTGAAACCATTCAGGGCAAGGGTAGGTGCAGTGGGGCCAGTATTGTTCATGAACGGGCAAGGGTGTGGTGCTTGCTATAAGGTGAAGTGCTTGGACCCCAGCATATGTTCGAAGCGAGCCGTGACGGTTATAATTACCGATGAGTGTCCTGGTTGCCCCTCCGACCGAACACACTTCGACCTTAGTGGCGCCGCCTTTGGCCACATGGCTGTTGCTGGCGAGAACGGTCAACTCAGGAACCGAGGTGAAATCCCAGTCATTTACCGAAGGTACGCACGTACACCAACCACATTCTTTCACTTTTTAATTTTAATCTCGGTTTCACTAATATATAACTTTTTTTTTTTTTTTTTGATAACAACTTTTTATTTTTAATATAAATAAAAATTGAACACATATTCTAATACAACTTATTCAATCTTCTTAGCACTAATCAATTCTAATGACTTCACTTATGTGTGACTCATCCAATTGACAGTGTCACTTTCTTTCTTTCTTTTTTTGGGTTTAGAATGTGGTCTTTTATCAAATGATTCAAATCCGTGAGCATTTGAGTTTTGACAATGACACTTTTTATTTTATTTTTTCGGAGTTCTGTGATTTGTTATGGCATTATGTGAAATAACTGCTATATATATATGAAAAAAAAGTTTCCAATGTTACTTTATACAACTTTGTCTAAAGTTGATCGAAACAACGTCATTTTAGAATTAAAAAATTAGAATGATAAAGACTATTATAACCCTGAAATAAATTAAAATTACAAAAAAAACTATGATTTCCGTCCCAAAACGACGTCGTTTCAATGAACATTAGATAAAGTTATCTAAAGTAACTTAAGAAAAAACAAACCCTATATATATATATATATACTATAAAGTATTTTTCAAATAATTTGTTTATAAAGTCATTGCAAGTTTTTTTTTTCCTCCCCATTTGCGGCTGGTATTTACTATTGACTTGCTTGGTGGATCCTACCATTTTTAAAAAATAAAAAAAAATATTGATGAGTGTCTCACAGGAGAAAATCACTTCTACATTGACAGCAGAAATGATTTTCCCTTAGAAGAAAGCATGAAAAAGACGGGTTAGAAAATCATGTTGAGAATACCTTTATGCTTTGTGGGTTAAAGGAAATAAAGGAAAAATATTTGTGATTTAAATGACAACTTTGTATGATATAATGGTGTTTTGGTTATTTTTTATATTTTCTTTCTTTCATACAATTAGGAAAAGAGAAAAAAAAAATATTGTAAAAAAAAGAGAAGGTAAAAAATCACCAAAATGACTGTTTATTTGAAATGACATAAAATTTTGTTTTCTCCTATAGGAAATTAGGGAAAAGTCTTGTACTGAACGACCTTTGTCCTCCGAAATTGTATTTTTTTTGCAGAACAACATGCGTGTATCCTGGAAAAAATATTGCCTTCCTTGTTAATGAAGGATCCACACCTTATTGGCTATCACTTCTGGTGGTGTTTGAGAATGGAGATGGGGACATTGCCTCCATGCATATACAAGAGGTATACATCTTTCTGCTGCTGTTGATATTTATTTACATGGTTTTCACTATATTTATATATATATATATTCCATAAAATCTGAATACCCTATTGATTATCTACATCAATAAGATAGTAACATGAAGAAAGATAAGAAAATGACATAAGAGTGAGAAGAAAAGAACCCTGAATTATGGTGTCCAAAAAATCAGATGCCACAACAGTTGCTTTATCTAATAAAAGTGCAACAGGTAGTAAACTAGTGATAAAGTGAATCTGTGAAAAAAATGTTTTGAAACGTGTTGCCATTTGAACCAAAAGGAACTGCCTAAACGTGCAGTAAAGCATACATTATTGTCATTAACTTTTTTTCCCCTATTAATTAAGCATGGCTAGTGTGGACAATTCCAAATGTTGAGGATATGTCTCTTTAAAGCTCACGTGCCAGTGCCACTTCCCAGCTGTTGGGTCTTTTGTACTTTAGATTGGATTATCTGCCAAAGGTTGCAAGAGACCCTTTTTATCCTATTAAAAATACTATCCAGAGTGTTCCTCATGTGGTGCCCTTTTCCTCTATATTCTGTATTCAAAGCATGTGATATGGGACCTTTAATTAAAATTTCATTTCATGCTTCTCCCGAACAATGTATATAATAATATCAACCACAATTAGGGTGTTATGCAAATTTAAGAAATAAAATAATGAGACTAAATTTTCATTTTATTGTGATTGGATATTTGTATTAGCAGGCAGGGTCTAGTGAGTGGATACAGATGAATCATCTATGGGGTGCAAATTGGTGCATTAATGGTGGACCTTTAAGAGGGCCTTTCTCTGTGAAGCTAACCACATCCACAGGAAGAAGCCTCACTGCCAAAGGTGTTATTCCAAGCAATTGGTCTCCAAAGGCCACTTATACTTCTCGCTTAAATTTCTTTCCTTAGCACCACCAATTCCCTTCCCAAATGGGGTAATTAATAAGCACTTTTTACCCAGTTGAAGTTGGTCAAGTTGGGCAAAAGTAGTCTTCATGGCCTTCCAACCCTGTTTTCCTGGGTTACTATGTAGATGTTCACATTGTTATCCTTGCTTTTTTTTTTTATAAGAAAAGTAGCCGTTGAGTGGACATGGCTATCCAATGGTCTTTTCTTTTTGTACCTGATTGGCTGATTTTGTGGTGTGCATAGACATGTTTGGATGAGCTTTTGAAAAAAAATAAAAATTATGAATTGCTTTTTTCAAAAAGAATTTTTTTAAAAAGATAAAATTATTTTACATTTAAATATATGATCTGAAAATCACTTTTATATAAAAAAAAGTTGTTTGAACGTTAAAATAAAAAAACATTTTTTATATATAAAATTAAAAAAGAACCTACAAATTTATTTTTTAACAAATTTTTGGGATTTATGCAAATGAAATTTGAAGAATGTGATTGCAATATCAGAAAAGACGATCCACAAACTACTCCAATGCTATAAGAAAGTGATGATATAATGGTGAAAGCATTAACACATTTACGGTGTAATACATTTAAATTAATTTACATCGTTCCTATTAGCTTTGTTATGTGTCGGAAGACGCAGAATCACACCGTAATTTTTCTCTCTATCTCCTTTCACTGATTTTTTTCTTCTTGTTCTTGTTGGAAAAGTTAACTCTCAGAGGGACTTGTTCTCCTCAACTTGTTGGCTTACTCTTCACGTTCATCTTAAAAAAATATTCTTCAATTCTTTGATCAAAACTAAAGTCAAAGTATCTTATCAAAACTTTGTACCAGAAGTCACTTGGCTCTCTCTAAAGAGGAGAGATAGCGTGTAGTATGTAGTATAGTATCGTTGAATGCGTGTACTGAACCCATTTGGCTTTAAAATAGTAAATATAATAAATTTTACACCCTTGATTATCATTTACAATATTTCACTTCTTCTATTAGAATTTAGAATGAAGTTTTCATTGTCAGATCATGAATTAGTAAGTGCATTCAATCTCCAAAAAAAATCTAATTCTTTTCAATTTTCTCTTTGGATTTGTGTGTTTATATATAGATCCTATTCATGGATTAATGAAAATGTGCGAAAGCTCTATTTGCCTATGCCAGGATGAACCTCGCATCGCATTTATTACATAAGTTTAATATTTCGCATGTTGTAAAAGATAAATTTATTTTTTACATATACATAAAAATATATGGGGCCTATTTATTTGAGAAAAGTAAAGGTTATAGAAAGATATGGAGGAAGAGAACACTTTTATTACTACACAACTCTTTTTTCTCTTTTTGGCTTAATTTGGCTTGTTACAAAATGATGGAGGACACACCTATTTATACTAGTGGCACCTCCTTAACCAATGGCTAGGATTGTGCCAACACAATTCTCATCTAAGGGCTACAAATTATTCTCTAGAATTTTCTATAATCTCCTAGCCTAGATATTTATGATGGTGGTTTCTAGATACAACTATTCCCTAGATATTTTGATGGAGACATCTAGAGTTGATTATTCTAGAATTTGGGCTAGATAACTCTTGGATATTTTTAGATGTTGGGCTAAATGTATACTAAGCCTAATGGACCAAAAAACTAAATCAAGTTTATTTATTCAACACCCCTCTTAAATTTGATTTTGTAAACCAGTCATATTTTGTGGAACACATTTGTCCGGTGGCTTTGGGATTGGTGGAAGATAAACAATCTTTATCGGTGTTTGTGGCGTCTCCGGTACATACACGATCTCTGCTAAAGTGTGTCAAATTTCATCCTCTACAAAACCCATAGCATGGTTCTTGTTGGGGGTCATTGTATTGGGAGATATCTCACCTTTTCCATTTCGAAAATTTGATAGATTTGGGTGATTGTGGGTGCTTTGGAGCTTGAAGAGTCACTCCCCAAGTATTCTAAGGTGATTTGGGGTAAGTTTTCACCATCCAACTCTTGTTTTCATGGAAATTTGATGAATCTAGGTTTTGATGAATAGTGTTTTGTGGGTTTATAAGTTTGAGTTTGATGGAGACTTAGTACCTTTGTAAATGCTGCTAGGAATGATAAATAAACGGTATAAATGAGTTTAGATTGTCATTTTAGTATAATTTGATATTTGAGTAAATTATGCTTGAAATTAAGGATATTCTTGAATGGTAAGCCATTGTTTTATTGTAGAATTGATTGTGTTCCTTGTATTAATAGGGTTGAGGCAAGAGAACCAAGTGGAGTGACCAACCTTTGTGGTTGTATTCAATTGAGGAAAGTTCAAGAGCAAGGTATACCTTTGGACCTTGGGATTGATCCCCTTGAATGTTCCACATACTCCTTTGAGGAGGAATGGTTTATGAGGTGTGATATGTAATGATGACATTTTGAGTTGTATGCAAATTAGTATTGTTAGATGCATTTGCCATTTATGTCATCCCTTGTACATATATATTTTGAGGCCATGTGATGTAGTATGGAGGACTTAGTCCATGATCATTGTTGTAGTAATTGCATTGTTGTATATGGCAATTAGCTTTGATCATGTCTTTTGATAGTTAAGTCATTTGGCATGTATTTATTTTGAAGAACATGGATGTAATATGGATATTGATAAATTAATGGAATGTGATGTTATATTTTGTCATGTTTATTTGCACAATAAAATGGTGTAGAATATATAATTATTGAGACATTGATGTTATAAGATTGTCAATTAAGTCATATGGTGTGTGGGGTTTAATTCCTCAAGAGGAATATATGAAAATAGAGATTAAGTGTTTTGCCCAGTGGAGGGGGCTTAAGCCTGAAAATGGAGGCTTAAGCTCGCTTAGGGGGCTTAAGCACCCAAGTTGGGAGCATAAGCGCTCTTGGTGGTCTAAAAATATCATTTTCCTCTGCATATGGGCGCTTAAGCTCGTTGGAGCGGGCTTAAGTGCTCTGTCGGGCAAAAAACATGTCGAAGAGGGCGCTTAAGCGCTCTCAGCGCGTTTAAGCGCGCAACCCGTTTTCAGCACGAACGTGAGTTAGTAAAATTGGCATAACTCGAGCTACAGAGCTTCAAATTGAGTGAGGCTTGAACCTATGTTAAGCTAACACATAGAGCTATAACCCTATAAAATATTAGAGCGATTTGATGAGTACATAAATGTCAGTATAGGATTGAAGTTGATGCTCTAATTCTGAAAATTCGGTTTTGTCAGCTACATTGCGAGTTTAATAACTCCGGCTATGCTTAACCAAATGGTTATTGTAATATCTTTCCGGAAAGCCCTAGATGTCTAGTTTATCAAAATGAAAGGTTAAAGTTAATTGTTAAGCGAAGTGGTCTCAGATTTGAGACTATTACATGATTATAATTACGATTTTGTTGTAAAAAGTAAATGAAAATGTTTTGTGAAAAAGTTTATCTGTAGTTTTAACTAATCAATGTAATTGTAACTGAGCTTAATATCATAAAGTAATGATAACAAACCGGTCCGGTAACGGGGTGTTACATTGATCATTTCCATCTTGAACTGTCTGCCCTTATGAGTCGTCAACATTTCTAAAGAATACGCCTTCAACTTTCATTTCTTCAGTTGTTATATGCTTTTTCTTGGTTGTCATTGTTTCATCCAAAATGAAATTTCTTTGGGGTTCTATCTTTGATTCTGGCAGTGTTAGTACTGCTTTATTCTCCTCTTCTTCCTCACGTTCCTCATCATCATCATTGACGTCGATAGGATCACCACTACGCTTGCTGTCACCTTCTCCTCCTCTTTTTACTTCATGTTCTTTCATCAAATCGGATTTATTTATCCACTCAGCATCTTTTGTATCTTCTTCCATATCATCAATTTTATCAGCTTCAGCTTCAGTTTCAGCTTGATGTTCTTTTTCTTCTTCCATAGTCTCTGATTTCTCTGACTCGAATTCATTTTGGATATCGAATTCTGATTCTGGATTGCTTGCCCCCGAGTCTAGATACCATGTATTCTCTTGTTCTCCTACATTGTCATTGTGTACCATCAACAGAGTGTCATCTTCTTGACTCCTTTCCTCCACATAGTTCACCTTCTCCTCAATTTTTCTTGTAGGAGTTCTATATTCATAAGCATAATGGCTGAACCTTTGACAGTTGTAGCACTTGATTTGAGACTTGTCACGTCTTGGTTGCGAGACACCTCTTCCACGACCTCTTGTTGAGCTCTCTCTTCGATCTTCATTGGCATAGTGGTTGTTGAAGCCTACTCTTCCACGTTCACGACCTTTTCCTCGACCACGATATTCTCCTCGTCCTCTTGTGTTACCAAAGTCTTCTTCCTTTTCTTTGAAGTTGAGTTGTGTCTTGAGTAATTGTTCGCCAACCCCTTGCTTCTTCTTTTGTTTATCCTCATATGCTTGTAAGGAGCCCAAGAGTTGCTCTATTGTCATGGCTTCCAAATCTTTTGTTTCTTCTATGACAGTGACAATATGATTGAATTTCGAATCTAAAGATCGCAAAATTTTCTCCAAATTTTTACATGATCTATCTTTTCACCATTTCTTTTTAATTGATTAGTCACCGTCAAGATTCTAGAAAAGTAATCGGAGATACTTTCGGCATCTTTCATATGTAAAGTTTCAAACTCACTTCTTAGAGTTTGAAGACGTACCTTCTTGACTGGCTCAGCACCCTTGTAAGAGGTTTGTAGCTTCTCCCATGCTTCCTTTGTGGTGGCTGCCTCCGAAATCTTCTCAAAAGCATCTTCATCCAATCCTTGATAGATGAGATAGAGAGCTTTCTTGTCTCTCTTTCTTGAATCCTTCAAGCTATCCCTTTGAGCTTGGGATAGATGAACTCCTTCTTGTGGCTCATTGTAGCCTTTCTCTACCACTTCCCACACATCTTGTGATCCAAGGAGGGCCTTCATCTTGATGCTCCAATTATCATAGTTGTTCTTGGTGAGCATAGGGACTTGGAAAGGAACCATTTAGCTACTTGCCATTTCTCTAGAAAGGATCTTAAGGCTCTTGATACCACTTTGTTGGGAGGAGGATATTTGATAAAAGTAAAGGTTATAGAAAGATATGGAGGATGAGAACACTTTTATTACTACACAACTCTTTTTTCTCTTTTTTGGCTTAATTTGGCTTGTTACAAAATGATGGAGGACACACCTATTTATACTAGTGGCACCTCCTTAACCAATGGCTAGGATTGTGCCAACACAATTCTCATCTAAGGGCTACAAATTATTCTCTAGAATTTTCTATAATCTCCTAGCCTAGATATTTATGATGGTGGTTTCTAGATACAACTATTCTCTAGATATTTTGATGAAGACATCTAGAGTTGATTATTCTAGAATTTGGGCTAGATAACTCTTGGATATTTCTAGATGTTGGGCTAAATGTATACTAAGCCCAATGGACCAAAAAATTAAATCAAGTTTACTTATTCAACACTATGTGGGTTCATGTAAAGAGAAGAGAGAGAGAGAAAAAAAATATGGATGCCATATACTTTTATACGTAAGAAATAAATTTATCTCCTACAACATGATAAACATTAAACCCTTATTATGGGGAAGGATCCGTTTACAAACTTTTTTTTATAAATTTTTGCAAATTACACTATGTACTCTCGAGAGAACATAATATAACCTAGTGTTCTCCCGGGAGTACATAGTGTAGTTTGTAATCAAAAATTTTATAAATATAACCCTCCCCTTACTATATATTACTATTTTGTGTTTAACGAAATGAGCCGATCAAATTCTAAATCTTCACACAATTGAATAAAATAAATTTTATTATCAAACATACGGGTTATTTTAACTTAATCAGTGAATAAAATTAATCGAATAGTTGATAAATGGATGAATAATGTTAAAAAAGAGAAATTTTGAAGGGGTTTGATAGTAAAACATTTCTTTTGCGATTGCTATTTAGCAAGAAAAATATTTTGCTCTTAAAGCACTAAACATCACCAATTTAATATTTCCCACATCACAACCCTCTCTCATTATAAAAGCTGGAGGTTTAAGCCAACATAATCAGGAACTGATCATTCATTTTTTGCGGTGACTTTGGGGTGAATCTACCATTAATTCAATACTATAACCATAAGCAATGATCTTTCTTTCATTATGTAGAGAATGATTGATGCTTCCATTTCAACACTTCAATTTTCATAATTATTACTTGCGAATATAGTTCATGTGCATGGTTCCTCCAAGTACCACAGCTAGCAATTGACAATGTCGAAGAAAAAGGGCATGGGATTCCCTAGCTACACTACATGCAAAGTTAAGACGAAACAAAGAAAAATAGAAGAATTGAGCCGTTGGCGAAATTTAATAGGGAATCTCATATATGTATTGTGGATGCAGACAATTTTGTTGAGGAATTTATGGCTGTTGTCCTTGAGTTCCCTACAAATAAGGGCCTCTATGGAACGGTATGTCAAGCATCAAAGACCATAAATTAGTATATGATGGTAGGGTTCAGTCTGTGATCTGTGACTACTACAAGTGGAAGAGGTCAAGATGGTAATGGAGTGGCCATGCTTGATTCTAGCCACTTTGCAAATGGCTTTATACTCAATGGAGGGTTCATGCTATTGACAACTATAAGATATAAAAGTGTAATGAAAAGAAATAAACTTAGTACGCAACCAGCGTTTCTCTACCTAAAGAGTAAAAAGAGAAAATAAAATATCATATTCTTCCACGACTATGAAATCTATCAAGCTAATGAGTGAAGTACTGAGGTACGAGGTATGTAGGGGTGTGCAAAAAAACTGGTTCAGTTGTCTGTCCTTGATCTGATCTTGACCTGACCCATAAATACCTTATTTTTTGAACGTGTTTTAAACACTGACCCACTTTTATTTGGGTCAGTTTTTGACCTGACTTGTTTTAATAATAACCCATTGACCCAAAACTTGAACCACACCTATTATGTGAAAAAAAAGAAAAAGAAAATCACAATTACATTAAAAGAAAAGTTTTAACATAAAACAATTACGTCAAAAAATGTTATGGAAAATATTTTCAACAAAATTTTTTTTTGACGAAAAATATTTTCATCAAAATTTGTGACTAAAAACATTTCTGAAAAAAAATTTGACGGAAAATTTTTTTGTCAATTTTTTTACGGAATCTAAATTTCGTCAAAATATTTCACAAAAAAACATATTCATCAAAAATTTCAACGAAACACATTTCCATCGAAATTTTTTGACGCAAAAAAATTTCATCAAAATTCTTTACAAAATTCAAATTTCGGTGAAAGTTTTCGACGGAAACATTTTCGTTAAACTTTTTGGCAAAAAAAAAAATCGTCAAAATTTTTAGCGAAACACATTTCCATCGAAAATTTTCGACTAATTATTTTCGTCAAGTTTTTTGATAAAAAAATATTTCCATCAAATTTATCAACGGAACACATTTCTATAAAAAATTTATGACAAAAAATATTTCGATAAAAAATTTTGACGAAAAAAAAATTCTGTCAAAATTGTTTAGGGAATCTAAATTTCGTCGAAAGTTTCGAATGAAACATTTCTCTCAAAACAATTTCCGTCGAAATTTTCGTCAGAACACATTCCCATCAAAATTTTGAACGAATAACGTTCTGTCAAAATTTTGACGAAATTATTTTTTCATTTAAAACATTTGATGGAGGAAATCTTTTTCGTCAAAACTTTTGACGGAAACTAAATTTCGTTGAAAATTTTGATAGAAAATTTATTTTTGTAAAAATTTTCATTAGAGAAAAAGTTCTGTCGCTTTTCAACAAAAAATATTCCGACGAAAAAATAAATTTGTGACGAAATTTTTGTCGTTTGCAACGTGGAAATTTTATCGAAAATATGATCTTTTTTAGTATTGTTAAAATTAGTGATTTGTCATCTTAAGATGAGAAGAGCTTTCTCTCATCCTTTACTTTTCACTAATTTTGCTTCACATGTGCAGGGGCTTAAAATTACATTCCTTTATTTATTCAACAAATATGAAATTTATTATAAAATTTGTATATATTAAAATAAATAAATAATTAAATTACATGAGTTTAACAAATAAATCAATAATTATAAAAAATTCAAATTAAAAACATGTTTTGAAACCAAGTCAAAAACGGGTCAGGTCGGATTTGATCCACTTCAGAAATCAAGTCAGACCCACTTCAGAAACCAAGTCAGGTCAGATCCGACCCGGTTATGAACTAGTTCAAAAAATCCAAACCAAATCAGACCTGACTTGGATCAAATTAAAGCGGGTCGGGTCAAAATATCTGACTTATAAAAACCAAGTTGGGTCGAGTCGGCACAAAAACCTTGTCTGACCTGACCCATGCACACCCCTAGAGGTATGAACCTCAATTATTTTTCAGAAAATTAAGAGCAATAATACTTTAGATTCACTAACATAAAAGTTAGTCCTTTATCAACATAATAATTTCTTATGTAAGTGTTATGGGCGAAGCTTAGAGGCCCATGTTTCAGAAGGTCCAAAAAGGGTACTAATAAAGAGGAAATTAAGAGAAATAAAGGAAAAATCCTTAATTGATACAAATTAATGGACCAAATGTTGGGCTCCTAGAAAGCCACTGAAGGTCCAAAACTCCACTATCCACATGTGATAGACTCTATAAATAAGAGATAGAGCTACATATATGACACTTACTCTCTCTCTTATTACTTGTTGTGTGCGTGTATGCGTGCACACACATCACACCTTTGGCAATGTCATTATTCTTGTGTACAATGTAATCTGCTTACTTCAAAGATATCTCCTTCATAGATAAGAGCCCTAAACCCAAAATCAATACACTAATCTCTCACTAGATAGCATTGTTTACTGTTTACTTTAGGTATTTTATTTAATATTAAGCATATATAAAGTTGTATATGTTAATGTAATGTTAAAATTGCACTCAACTATAACGACTGTCTTTACACATGTCATATGATAAAGATTATCTATTTATGAATTTCTCTTATTAAAACATAACTACATGAGTTAGTATCATTTTTCAAATATTATTATGTAATATTTAATTAAACGTTACTATATTAATAAAGAGCTTAAATATGATAACAATTACTTGATGTGAGTTGTTACATGATCGGATGATGTATAAAATTTATTTATACTTAAAATAAAAGAAAATTAAAGTGTATATATACTTAAAATGTTTTCATATGATATAAAAGGTACCACACTTAATGCTAATATGCTATACCAATTTTTTGTTGGATTTTTTTTTATTCCCTCATTATTAAGAGAGAAAGAGGTTCTTAACAATTCTTAATAGGGATTAATGTTTTCTGTTGTATGTAAAGAGAAGAGAGACCCCTTTTCTCATAAGAGAGACCCATCACATGGTAACAATGACTAAAATGTCACTTTTTGGTAAATTTTTTACTCAAATGACACGCAAACAGTACTTTTACCAAACTGTCACGTGTCATAATTCGCTACGACGGGTAGCGAATTACGTTCGCTAATGATTTTGTGACACGTGGCACACTTTCGCAGGAAAAAGCTGACGTGTTATAATTCGCTACCAATGGTGACGAATTTAGTCTGCAATATGACTACGTGTCACAAAATCATTGGCCACGAACAGTGATAGCGAATTATGACACGTGACAGTCTAGTAAAAAGTACTGTGGGATTTGGATAAAAAATTTACCAAAAAGTCACACTTTGGTGTTTGGTCACTGTTCCCATCACATGGCCCCATCCACTCCCATGTTATCTTCGACTTGTTGAAGAAACATTAAACCCTTCTTGATATCTGTAACATGTTTCTACTTGCAATTATTATTGACCGTGCTGAAAAATGTAGTTTATATTACTCGTTATAAAATTACAACGATTACGTGCTCTGTTTGATTGTATAATGACGACCACCAAGAAATTAAAAAATTTAATGTCTCTAGGAAGCTAAAAAAGCTACCAATTAAGTTTTGGCCTTATTCATTACAAGAACTTGGAAATTCTAGAAAAAAAGATAGAGAAGAAAAACACTGCATGTCCATTGAAACAAAATGATTAATAAAGCGACCCTTTGGCAGTCAAGTTTTCACATTGAAGTTTGGCATACTGCAGAGTTTTTCTGCTTTCTGTGTCTGCCACCCCACCACTACAAAGTCTGAAATCTTTCTGTCTCATACGCATCCAAATTGCAGGCTTTAAGCCTATCCATTCCTCACCTGAAAAGAAGAGACCATTGAAGAAAATAACTAAAGAAAACAAAAGAACACACCCTTGGAATATGCAACAAATCACCTCATAACCTGGCTTGACAGTCCCAACAGTTTGAAACTAAGAAACATGAGTTCAAAATGTCAAAGTTTTTATCTTCATCTTTAGCAAGGAGATCAACATCATTAATTGTTAGAAAAAGAAGGCCTTTTGCATTGTTTAGTCCTCTCTCAGTCCCAAAGATAATGAAAATCGAAAACAATTATTGACCTAAAAGCTTAGTTTTCATATGGGTGCTCTACAATCTACACTTCTATACTTGATTTTATTGCAGGCATGCAAGATTGGTGCTTACAGGGAGGAAGAATGGAAGTCTGCCACTGCAACATATATCAAAGATACAGAGGGATCACTCATTACTGGTACTTCTCTTGTTGCTTGTAGTCTTAGCTTAAATGCTATATGCAATTTTGAGTTTTGACAATGTGGTTGTGCATTGACTGCAGATGGAGCTTGTGGTTATGGAGACCTAAACAAGGTCTACAATGGGAAATATAGTACTGGGTTAAGCACTATCTTGTTCAATAGAGGGAGTTCCTGTGGGGCTTGCTACGAGATCAGATGTGTTGACCACATCTTATGGTGCTTGCAGGGAAGTCCATCTGTGGTTGTTACTGCTACAGATTTCTGTGCTCCAAATTATGGACTTTCAGCTGATTATGGTGGCTGGTGCAATTTTCCAAGAGAACATTTTGAGATGTCAGAAACTGCATTTGCTGAAATTGCCAAGAGAAAATCTGATATAGTTCCAGTTCAATATAGAAGGTAAGAAAAATTAATTTGATGAGACAGATTGACTTAACCTTTTTTTTTTAATTAAGGTTTAACCATCTGGATGATATAAGGGGAAATTTTGTTTATGTGAATATTGTGCAGAGTTAAATGTCAAAGAAGTGGTGGCTTGAAATTCACAATGAGCGGAAGTTATCATTTCCATCAAGTTCTGATTACCAATGTAGGGTTGGATGGTGAAGTGGTTGCTGTGAAAGTGAAGGGAATTTTAACAGGATGGATACCCATGGCAACGAATTGGGGACAAACTGGCAGAGTAATGTGAACCTTAAACGACAGCCTCTGTCCTTTGAGGTGACCATCAGTAGTGGAAAAACACTCACATCTTACAATGTAGACCCTGCAAACTGGAAATTTGTACATATATTTGAAGAAAAAAGTTCTAGTATGAGAAGATTCTGAATTCTTGATACTAAAAGATAAGTTTTGGGTGACTTGTATTTTTGAACTGCTAAATTTGATTTATGACCTCTCCGAAGACTTGTTTTTTGATAGAACACAATGTCATGATTTGATCTATTTAGCTGATCCCATCTAGTAGCAAAAGGCTTTTTGTTGTTGTTGCTGTTATAGGTTTATGAAGCAAACGAGAACAACACAACTTAATTGTATATTTTCTCATGAATCATGATCATTGTTGGTGTTTGATCCGGATATAATATAGGCCCAACCAGGGCCCAATAACACATGGAAGCCCAAATCCATTAAGGACCCAGAACGAGGCATAAAGGACAGGTACAGACACGATGACCATATCGCGGCACACCAGCGCGATGACCATATCGCGTCACGCAAGACGTACTTACTCACCTCGCAACAGGATACCTTCTACAGACAGTAAACTTAAGGGCCAAGGCAACACCACCGCGCCCTCACACCAGTAAGCAACAAACAGCTCCAGCTCGCCATAACTCTACTACTAGACACTGTGGTGGCAAGCTCCTCAACATTTAAACCATGATAGCCACACTATGTTGGCACCAAGGAACCTTTGCCTTTACCATGAAGAAAGGCATCCTCCAAGCACACATCTCAACTACTATATAAACACACGATGAGGTACGATCATCCTTTATTTTCACAACATAAACACTTGCCTCTGATACTGACTTAAGTATCGGAGTGTCTTCGCAGGTACCCCCTCCCCCCCCCCCCCCATTTGGTGCAACGTGAAGGATGAAGGACAAAGAGCTCAGGCTCACCCCAACTGCAATACCAGGCCCAGACCAGAAACTACCGAAGGAGTCTCAACCGTGTGTGATTTGGGCTTAATACATATTGGGTTATTCATACCGTATTTGGTCCAATCAGTGTTTAATCTTAAGTTCTACCTGACTAAGATAGTAATAGATTACGGTTTGACTAGATCATAGTTAGTGTTTTTCATCCGTAAACTAACATGATTTAGATTCTTGAGCGTGTGATCAAATCAATTGTGTCTTAGACGTCCTTTCTGGTTGATTTGAATTAAATTAAATCATGACAACAGTAACTGGATCTCCGATAACAAAATGTTAAATGAGTAACATGAGTAAAATAGAACATAATTTCCAATTCCACAGGATCATATTGCACCTCTGCATGGATCTATTAGCACGGTAAAAATTGGGACAAGGAACTAACGAATCTACACAGATATTCTATAATTGTCTAATCCTCATCCTGCAACAGTGTTTTAGATTGCTTGAGCTATAAACAAGCCAGCAAATAAATACAGTTTTACATAAACTCAAGTAGAAGAAGAATGCAAAACCGCATAATCAGCCTAGCAGTTCGTATAGGTTTGGGACCCTAGTCATATAATTCACGGTTGATACGAACAAAGCAAGACCCTCTGAATTAATAAAGCATAGTTATATGCTTGTTGCTTAGAGGAAAACTATATGCAAAGATAAGAGAGGGCATGAAAGTTGTTCTTTGATAATGAATTCCAAAGTAAGATAACATAAAAAAGAATTGCATCTAAAACCTACAAATCTAAGGCAGTAGTTTGGACCACTGCTCTCCACAGGCCATGCTACAAAGCCTAAATAAAGTATCTTCATATGGCCACATCACTTATTCTCCATGAAATTAAGAACAAAATTTAGCAAGATCAAAAAAATACAAATAATATGTATATGTATTACAGAAAAATAAGAATAAAAAAGAATTGCTAACAAAAAATCATCTTGTCTTCATTACTGACCAGTTGCTGGCTCGGAACTAGCCACTTGCTCACCCTCAACTATAGCTGGAACCTGTGGTTCACCATTACCAGCAGCATCTTTTGCAGGGGAAGCAGGTTTATTTCCTACAGCACCGGCAGCTGCAGTTGGTGTTGAGGTTTTCCCACCCTTATTATCATCCTTCCCCTCCTTCGCATCTTTGCTATCTTTGCCAACTTTGCTTTCTTTTGCATCTTTTTCTTCTTTGGGTGGCATCATATGAGATGGAGGGTTCTGTTTAAGCTTCAAAATCATTTGGCGCATTCTGGCAAGATCAGTTGGTTTCCCTGGCTTTGGACCCTGATTAACATTAATTGAAGGCTTATTCTCAGCTTCTTTCTTCCCTCTCCTCTTCTCAATATTAGGAACCTCACGAGGAATGATCTCTGCTATTGCTTTCCAGTAATGTTTGTCAGCTTCTTTGTGAAATTTCTCTTGGTTGGCCAAGTTTATCTGCATGTATATATACTCATTCTCTTCATTTGCATACAAATTAGGAAGCATGACAATGCGCAATGAATGCATGTTGCACAAAAGGGAAAAGGGTAAGAGCATAGGGAATTACTCAGTAGTTGCAAATTGTGAATCAAGTTTACTATTTCTACCTTTTCTCTTTCTCTGTTGTTCGCTTTGTTTGTCTCACAGTTGATCTTTCTTTTCTCATAGAAAGCTTGCTTATAATCTTCAGCTTCCTTTATAATCTGATTTCGCATCTCCTTCTCTCTATTCTCCTTTTCCTCAAGATGAATGGCATTTTTACTGCATTGGTGGAAGCCATGAAAATCGTACTATCAGAAAAGCCAATGCAAACATATGTAACCTAAAACGAAAAAAACACACAGACACGCACACAAATACTTTCTTCATCACTACACAAATTGAGTTCCATTTGACACTGTAATAATTGAGCTACATGATTACTAAACAATCTAATTATAAGACTCTTACGTTACCAAACAAGATTACTAAACCTTAATCCACAAATTTAATGCAGTTTACAGAACAGCCCAACATTTTTTTGGATACAAATAAAAATTCAACATATAACCTAATACAAATTACTCAAATCCCTCACCACAAATTACTTAAATCTCTTAATAGTAGACCAAACCTAGTGGCTTGAACAGAATAAAAATATTATAGAGATCAATTTACCCAATAGATCACTGTATGAGATGAATTATAAGCTCACTTTCCTAGCAAAAAAAAAATTACATTAATCAAACCCTTTAGATCATGTGACGACAACATCAATTAAAGTGACAAGTTACAACAAATATAATACATAAAACAATGTTGAGACAAGGTTGCAAACAAATATGACATATGAAACGAAAATTATAAAAGTTGATGGGATAAAATAGAATAGGAACAAATTGATCTAACCGTCGCCATTCGCGTCTTGCAAAGCCTTCCTCCTGCATTTGAGTGGGGTCCGGCAGAACAGGGCCATCGGAAGTAAAGGTTCCGTCGTCGGTGGCTCCGTCGGTTTCAAATGGCGAAACGTAATCCGGGTTAGGGGTGGAAACCCCGAAGCCGTAAACGGGTGGAGAATGTGGGTTGTTGTTGTTGTCAGTGAAGTTGTTGTTTGGATGGTGAGGGTGGTGATCATCGTCAGAATGAGTGAAACCGTAAGGGTGATGAGCCTGAGAATCGTAATCCATGTCGGTGTAGCTGCCATCATCGTCGAAGGGTCCCGTCGTTGGCGATTGATGCGGCTGATCCTCAAACGATTCGAAGGATGCCATTGCTGATATCTCTCACACAAACGTTTCCTTCGGATCACAGTGCGTTTCTCTTTCACCAATCAATCACTATCAAAACTCAAGACAAACTTAGAATTGCAACGCATGTTATGTATGTTTCTTATGTTATTTATATAAGGTACGAGGTTGTCACTTACCACCCATCCGTACGAAAATTTATTTATTTTCCAAATATTCTGTATCTTTTATGATGTTCTGTATCTTTTATGATAGGATTTATTTATTTTTGCTTTTATTTGGTGCAGGTTTATAATCTAAGTTAATATTGATCCCTTAGTAAAAAAATAAAGAAATATTTTTCATGAAAGAAAATCAGAGAATATATTTTTTAAATTGCATGAGGAAAAACAAGAAATTTATTCCAAAAAAAATAACGTACAAGCTACGCGATTCTTTTTAAAAACGTTATAATAAAAATAAGGAAAGTTATATTTATAATTTATTTTTTTATAATATCTTATTATCATATCTTCATCATTGATTTTTGTTAATTAACAGTTATTATTTTCTCAAATCAAATCTATTAAATAATTATTAATTCGTAATAAATAATAATCGTTGATTGATGAAAATCAACAATTAAGATATCATTAGAGATTGTAAACAAAAATAGGTTATAAATATGATCTTCTATATATATAAAGGAGAGTTCACTGCTGGAAAGTTTTGCCAAGTGTCACTCCCTGGTTAATTCTACAATTTGGTTATATACAAACTTCCTTTATTGGGTAAATTGGAAAAAAAAACTCTTTTAAAAATTGAATTTTAATTTTTAAATCGAATAATAGTTGCAGACAAGGCATTGAATGTCCCACTGCCAATCACATTGGTATCCAAAAAAAAATCAACTGTTTTAATTGCTTTTTATGTTGGAATTGGTCATCTCATCTGAAATTCAAAATTTTAAATGGTTTATCAATTAAATTTTGAAATTATGTATTTTAATTCACAATTGTTGAAGACCCGATCGTCATTCGATTCACAATTTCGTTATGGTTATTTTTAAAAAAATATATATACAATAATGATATAACAAAGACATTATCTTTGTTATATAGACATTATCTTTGTTATATATTTGATTCAAATATCATAACAATCAAGAATCAAGAGAGCTGACAGACAAAATAAATTAAATCCCAAAACCAAAACTACCATATAAGATAAACTATCATACCAATATTCTTTTAAAAATTGAATTTTCGAAATTTTAAATGGTTTATCAATTAAATTTCGAAATTATGTATTTATTTTGCACAATCTGAAATTCGAAATTTTAATTGGATAATCAAGTGTTTTAATTGCTTTTTATGTTGGAATTGGTCGTCTAATCTGAAATTCGAAATTTGAAATGGTTTAAAATTTTGAATTTAAATATGGATGGTGGGAAAAGAAATTCTTTTAAAAATCGAATTTTAATCTTTAAATCGAATAATTAAATGACCATTTGTGGTGGCAGACAAGACATTGAATGTCCCACTGTCCATCACATTGGTATGCAAAAAGAAATCAGCTGATTTAATTGCTTTTTATGTTGGAATGCGTTATCTGATCTAAAATTCGAAATTTGAAATGATTTAAAAATTGAAATAAAAAATCAATGAAAAATTAAGTTAATCATTTATGGTGGCAGACAACTCATTTAATGTCACACTGATTTGTACATTGGAATTACTTAGCTCTTTTAAATGCTTTTTGCATTGGAATTGCCTACTCTTTTAAAATTCGAATTCTGAATTGATTTCAAATTTTGGATTTCAATTTTAAATTTCAAATTGTAATGGTGGGAAAGGATTTGAAAATAAAAAAATTAAATAAATAATAATTTCTTTTAAAAATCGAAATAAAAAATCAATGAAATTTAAGTTAATCATTTATGGTGGCAGACAACTCATTCAATGTCCCACCAATTTGTACATTGAAATTATTCAGCTCTTTTAAATGCTTTCTGCATTGGAATTGCTCACTCTTTTGAAATTCGAATTCTGAATCGATTTCAAATTTTGGATTTCAATTTGAATTCGAATTTGAAATCAATTCAGAATTCGAATTTCAAAAGAGTGAACAGTTTCAAAGCAGAAAGCATTTAAAAGAGCTGAGTAATTCCAATGTACAAATCAGTGAGACATTGAATGAGTTGTTTGCCATCATAAATGATTTACTTAATTTTCATTGATTTTTTATTTCGATTTTTAAAAGAAATTATTATATAATTAATTTTTTATTTCCAAATCCTTTCCCACAATTACAATTTAAAATTTAAAATTGAAATCCAAAATTTGAAATCAATTCAGAATTCGAATTTTAAAAAAGTGAACAATTCCAATGTAGAAAGCATTTAAAAGAGCTGAGTAATTTACATTGTACAAATCAGTGGGACATTGAATGAGTTGTCTGCCATCATAAATGATTAACTTAATTTTCCATTGATTTTTTATTTCGATTTGTAAAAGAAATTATTATTTATTTAATTTTTTATTTCTAAATCATTTCCCACCATTACAATTTGAAATATAAAATTGAAATCCATAATGTGAAATCAATTCAGAATTCGAATTTCAAAAGAGTGAACAATTCTAATGTAGAAAGCATTTAAAAGAGCTGAGTAATTCCAATGTACAAATTAGTGGGACATTGAATGAGTTGTCTGCCACCATAAATGATTAACTTAATTTTCCATTGATTTTTTATTTCGAATTTTAAAAGAAATTATTATTTAATTTTTTGTTTCCAAAACCTTTCCCACCATTACAATTTGAAATATAAAATTGAAATCCATAATTTGAAATCAATTCAGAATTCGAATTTCAAAAGAGTGAACAATTTCAATATAGAAAGCATTTAAAAAAGCTGAGTAAATTCAATATACAAATCAGTGGGACATTGAATGAGTTGTCTACCACCATAAATGATTAACTTAATTTTTCATTAATTTTTTATTTCGATTTTTAAAAGAAATTATCATTTATTTAATTTTTTGTTTCCAAATCCTTTCCCATGCAACAAAATCCCAAGATTGATAATAATTGTATTTTAATAAAAATCATTTCTGTTTTCAGTTTCAACAAAAATCGAAAAAGCTTGAAAACTTTTAACTTCTTCTGATATTGAAATCACGAATAAACTGGAACGCGGGGCGTTAAATACTGGACTACGATTGAAATTTTAACTTATCTTACATCGTTTAAGTGCAGCCTTTATATTTATATTAATTAAACCTCAACGAAAAAAAAAAATTGTAATGGTGGGAAAGAATTTGGAAATAAAAAATTAAATAAATAATAATTTCTTTTAAAAATCGAAATAAAAAATCAATGGAAAAATAAGTTAATCATTTACGGTGGCAGACAACTCATGTAATGTCCCACTACTTTTCTTTTGTTGTATATTATGAGTAAAAAGACCTCTACTTTTCTTTTGTTGTATATCCCACTATTTTTTGCATGGATATTTGTTAGCCATATTAATGATGCATAAAAAACAAAAACATTAAAAAAAATTGTAAAATAACAAAATTATTTATATTGTAAAATAAATTCGAAATTTGGAAATGAATTAAATGAAAATTTATGTGAACTTGATATGTGGAAAAAGAGTTCAGCATTATATAAATGTTATAAAAATCATAAATTAAAATAGAAAAAAATTATATAAAAATATGTATAATTAATATAATTTTTTTTAAATTTAAATAAAAAATGACAGTTAGAGGTGGAAAACTGGGCTCGGCCCAGAGGGCCGGCCCGCCAATATATTTTTATAATTCAATTGAAATTTTATCCTTCTTCTTTTATAATTAAATTATTAAATCTAATTTTAATTTTTTTAAATATAAATTTGTAAAATTCCAAAGACTAACGACACTAATCCTTGCAAAAAAAGTTATTTATATAAAATGCTGACAGTTAGAGGTGGAAAACGGGGCTCGGCCCGGAGGGCCGACCCGCTAATATATTTTTATAATTCAACTGAAATTTTATCCTTCTTCTTTTATAATTAAATTACTAAATCTGATTTCAATTTTAGTAAATACAAATTTGTAAAATTTCAAATACAAAGTACACAAATCCTTGCAAAAAATAATTATTTATTATTATTTTTTAAATCTGATTGTAATAAATGAAAGACCATCTCTGAGATAAAATATAAAAACCTAAATGTGACTATAAGAACCTTTTTTTGTGTGTGGGTAAATATAAAAATATATTGTATGCTCATAGTTAGAGGTGACAAACTGGGCTCGGCCCGAAGGGCTGGCCCACCAACACTTTTTTATAATTAAATTATAATTTCTTCCTTCTTCTTTTATAATTAAATTCCTAAATCTGATTTTAATTTTTGTAAATACAAATTTATAAAATTCAAAATGCTAATGACACAAATCTTTGCAAAAAAATAATTATTTACATAAAATACTAATAGTTAAAGGTTGCAATCTTGGTTGCTTACCAAAAAAAAAAAAAAAAAGGTTGCAATCTGGGTTTGCCCAGAGGGCCTTTCTGCCTCGCCTGCCAACACGTTTTAATAATTAAATTAAAATTCCATTATTCTTCTTTTATAATTAAATTCCTAATTAAGATTTTATTTTTTGTAAATACTAATTTATAAAATTTCAAATACTAACAGCACAAATCCTTGCAAAAAATAAGATAGCAATACAGGTTTTTATAAGTATAAGGTTTGCAGTGCGATTAACCAACTACGGCGGACGACAAATATTTTGATCTTTTCCCCCGTGCATCGCACGGGTAATACACTAGTTTTCATAAAAAATAGAGTAAAGCCCCTTTTAGTTCTTAACAAAAAATACGGTTCCAATTTCGTTCCTTAAAAAAAAAGTCCACTTTTGATCTCAACGACTCCAAAGGCTATCACTTATTGGACTAGGGGTGTGCAAAAAAATTCGTTCACTTGTCCTGCCCTTGACCTGACCCATAAATACCAATTTTTTTTTAACTGGGTTTAAATACTGACCCACTTTTATTTGGGTCAGTTTTAGACCTAACTTGTTTTAATAATGACCCATTGACCCAAAACTTGACTCACACCCATTATGTGAAAAAAAAGAAAAAGAAAATTACAATTACGTTAAAAGAAAAGTTTTAACGTAAAACAATTACGTAAAAAATTTTTACGAAAAATATTTTCCTCAAAAATTTTCGCAAAAATTTTTGACGAAAAATATTTTCGTCAAAATTTGTGACTAATAACATTTCTGTAAAAAAATTTGACAGAAAATTTTTTTCGTCAAATTTTTTTTACGAAATATTTCACAAAAAAACATATTCATCAAAAATTTCGAAGAAACACATGTCCATATAAATTTTTTGACGAAATTTTTTTTTATCAAAATTCTTTACTGAATTTAAATTTCGGCGAAAGTTTTCGACGGAAACATTATCGTTAAACTGTTTGACAAAAAAAAAAATTCGTCAAAATTTTTAGCGAAACACATTTCCATTAAATTTTTTTGACTAAATATTTTCGTAAAGTTTTTTTGATAAAAAACATTTTCATCAAAATTTTCAACAGAACACATTTCTGTCAAAATTTTTCGTAAAATTTTTTGACAAAAAATTTTGACGGAAAATATATTTTGTCAAAATTTTTTAGAGAATCTAAATTTCGTCGAAAGTTTCGAATAAAATATTTCCCTCACACATTCCTATCGAAATTTTGAACGAAAAAATTCCGTCAAAATTTTTGAGGGAATTCTTTTTTCATTTAAAACATTTGATGGAGGAAATCATTTTCGTCAAAACTTTTGACGAAAACTAAATTTCGTCGAAAATTTCTATTGAAAATTTATTTTTGTAAAAAATTTCATTAGAGAAAAAATTCCGTTGTTTTTCGACAAAAAGTATTCTGACGAAAAAATAATTTTGTGACGAAATTTTCGTCGTTTGTAACGTAGAAATTTCATCGAAAATATGATCTTTTTTAGTATTGTTAAAATTAGTTATTTGTCATCTTAAGATGGGAAGAGCGTTCTCTCATCTTTACTTTTTATTAATTTTCACTAATTTTGCTTCACGCAGAGGTTTAAAATTACATTCCTTCATTTATTCAACAAATATCAAATTAATTATAAAATTTATATATTTTAAAACATATAAATAATTAAATTACATGAGTTTAAAAAATAAATCAATAACTATATAAAAAATCAAATTAAAAATATGTTTTGAAACCAAGTCAAAAATGGATCAGGTTAGAATTGACCCACCTCATAAACCAAGTCAGACCCACCTCAGAAACCAAGTCAGGTCAGATCCGACCTGGTTCTGAACTAGTTCAAAAAAATCCAAACCAAGTCAGACCTGAGTCACCTAACTTGGATCAAATTAAAGCGTGTCAGATCACAATACCTAACCTATAAAAACCAAGTTGGGTCGAGTCGACACAAAAACCTGACCCATGCACACCCCTAATTGGAACAACGGGTGCATTGAATTTCGTTAAAGGATGAGACTAATCCCCCTTCGAGAACAGAGACATGTCTTCTGCCCCAATTTTTTTTCAAGAATTTACTTGAGACAAAATTTGAACCCTTAATCTAAGCAAATTCTTGAAAGCTCATTGGCAACTGAAGTACCTTGGAGGTTTAATATATTAATTTTGGATTTTATGTTTATCATGTAACATAAAACAACTTCACTTTCCTACACATATTAAAGAGGTGAGATTCACATGTTTTTCTTTCTCTTTTATCATTCCACTTCCTCTCTCGCTTTTGTTGTGTATGTTAGAAACAAAACTTAAGTTATGTAATATGGGTTTTGTATCTATAATTTAACATGACCACAACAATTTTCCTACACACATAACATTTTGTGGGACCCACAATTTTTGAAACCAAAAAAAAAAAAAAAAAAAACTCTGGCACGCAAAACGAATCTCTATAACATAACACAATCACTTTTCCTACAACATAACTCTTATTAAACCCATGTAATATAACATTAATAAAACCCATTATTTTTAGTTAGGTACATGTGTGTTTTTTTGGCTTACACTTCTCGTGTTGGAGGAGAAGAGTAACCTCTGCAGCAGACACTTAATAAAGAAAACAAACTGAAAATGAAATTGGAAGATGATTTTGCATTTACCGAAAAGAATAAAGGATTTATACTTCTCATGTTACATTGAGATGAGACTTCTTATTTCATAGGGACAAAAAATATGTGGGACCCATATGTTAGAAAAAGTCATAGGTGGGACTCATGTTAGCATGGAAATCGAAGAGTGTGTAGGAAAATTTTCCTTTTCATGTATAACTCCCAAAAAAATAAATATAATTTTGCAGCAACATGAAAACTTTTTTTTTTTTTTTATATTAATATGTCTCCGAGCGGATTTGTCAGATCATTTATTTGTGGACAAATCAACCGTGATAATTCTGTCATTTTCATCTCTTATCACCGTTAATGTTTTTTTTGTTTTCCCAATTCTTATCCGTTAAGATGAGATTAATCTTCTTTACGACCTAGAGCGTGAAAATTTTCTTAACTCTGACGTGTTCGCTTAGGAATTGAACGAAAATCCTCTTAAATTTCCTTGAGCATATCGCACCCATTAACTAAGTAACTCCTCAGCTCAGAGTTCTCATCGCTATTAATTAATTAACCTATTCTGAATCCCTAATCGTTCGTTTAGTTTGCAGCCACAGCAGCAGCCATGGTGTTCGTTGTGACACCGAACCACAGAACCCTAGCCTTAGACGTAGACCCTAACGCAACCACTCTCCATCTTCTCAAGCTCGCGATTCATCAAAACTGCACCATCCCTATCTCACAGCAACGCTTGTTCCTTTCTCAGAGCCTTCGATTACTCGGAGATAACGATTCCCTTCTCATTTCCGACCTTGGTGTGGGACCCTACTCTACCCTAACCCTCCACGTCCCCTTTCACGGCGGAACTCAGCCACCGGCTGTTCCGAAGCCCCGATTCGATTTCCTCAACTCGAAACCGCCTCCCAATTATGTTGCTGGACTTGGACGTGGCGCAACCGGCTTCACCACGCGGTCCGATATCGGACCTGCCCGCGCCGCCCCTGACCTCCCTGACAGATCCGCCACCACCATCGGCGGCGCTGCCCCTGCTGCCGCCGGCAGGGGAAGAGGGAAGGGCGGCGAGGATGAGGAAGAAGACGAAGGGGAAGATAAAGGGTATGATGAGAATCAGAAATTCGATGAGTTTGAAGGGAATGATGTTGGGTTGTTTGCCTCTGCGGAATATGATGAGGATGATAAGGAGGCTGATGCTGTTTGGGAAGCCATTGATAAGAGAATGGATTCGAGGAGGAAGGACAGAAGAGAGGCAAGGTTGAAGCAGGAGATTGAGAAGTATCGTGCCTCTAACCCCAAAATCACTGAGCAATTTGCTGATTTGAAGCGTAAGTTGTTTACACTCTCTTCAGATGAGTGGCAGAGCCTTGAGAAGTTTGAGAGTGGGGGTTATTCATCAAGGAATAAGAAGAAGAGGTTTGAGAGTTTTGTCCCTGTTCCTGATACACTTCTTGAGAAGGCAAGGCAGGAGCAAGAGCATGTGACAGCATTGGATCCCAAGAGTAGGGCAGCGAATGGGACTGAGACACCTTGGTCACAAACCCCGGTTACTGATTTGACTGCTGTTGGTGAGGGTAGGGGTACTGTGTTGTCTTTGAAATTGGATAGGTTGTCGGATTCAGTGTCCGGGATGACGAATGTGGATCCAAAGGGGTATTTGACTGTTCTTAATAGTATGAAAATAACAAGCGATGCTGAGATTTCAGATTTCAAGAAGGCTAGGTTGCTGCTCAAGAGTGTTACTCAGACAAATCCTAAGCATCCTCCCGGTTGGATTGCGGCCGCTAGGTTGGAGGAGTTGGCTGGCAAGCTTCAAGTGGCTAGGCAATTGATAGAGAGGGGATGTGAAGAGTGTCCCAAGAATGAAGATGTGTGGCTGGAGGCCTGTAGGCTGGCAAATCCTGAGGAAGCCAAGGCTGTGATAGCTCGTGGTGTCAAGTCCATTCCCAACTCTGTGAAGTTGTGGCTGCAGGCTGCGAAATTGGAACATGATGATGCAAACAGGAGTAGGGTGTTGAGGAAAGGGTTGGAGAACATTCCTGATTCGGTTAGGCTGTGGAAGGCTGTCGTGGAGCTTGCTAATGAAGAAGATGCTAGGCTTTTACTTCATAGAGCTGTTGAATGTTGTCCCTTGCATGTCGAATTGTGGCTTGCTCTTGCGAGGTTGGAAACTTATGATAATGCCAAGAAGGTTCTTAATAGGGCAAGACAGAGGCTGCCCAAGGAGCCGGCCATATGGATAACAGCTGCCAAGTTGGAAGAAGCTAATGGGAATACTTCCATGGTTGGCAAGGTAATTGAAAGGGGTATTAGGGCTTTGCAGAGAGAAGGTTTGGTGATTGATAGAGAAGCTTGGATGAAGGAAGCAGAGGCAGCAGAACGTGCTGGGTCGGTTGTAACTTGCCAAGCAATAATCCACAATACAATTGGAATTGGAGTTGAAGAAGAGGATAGGAAGAGGACATGGGTTGCCGATGCAGAGGAATGCAAGAAGAGAGGTTCTATTGAGACGGCCAGAGCTATATATGCTCATGCTTTGACTGTCTTCTTAACTAAGAAGAGCATATGGCTTAAAGCAGCACAACTTGAAAAGAGTCATGGAACCAGGGAATCTCTTGATGCATTACTTCGTAAAGCAGTTACCTACCGACCACAGGCTGAAGTTCTTTGGCTTATGGGTGCCAAAGAGAAGTGGCTTGCTGGAGATGTGCCTGCAGCACGTGCTATTCTCCAAGAAGCTTATGCTGCCATTCCCAATTCTGAGGAAATATGGCTTGCGGCTTTCAAGCTTGAATTTGAAAACCATGAACCTGAGAGAGCAAGGATGTTATTGGCTAAAGCCAGAGAGAAAGGAGGTACAGAAAGAGTCTGGATGAAATCAGCAATTGTGGAGAGAGAACTGGGAAACATTGAAGAGGAGAGGAGATTGTTAAATGAAGGGCTGAAGCAATTCCCTTCATTCTTTAAATTGTGGTTGATGCTCGGCCAGCTTGAGGAACAGCTTGCCGAGAATGCGAAGCGGCTCAATCAGCCCGAGAATCGGCTTGATCACATGAAGGAAGCTAAGAAGGTCTATGAATCTGGACTGAAAAACTGTCCTAATTGTGTACCACTTTGGCTCTCCCTTGCTAATCTTGAAGAGGAGATGAATGGACTGAGTAAAGCTCGGGCAGTTCTGACAATGGCTCGGAAAAAGAATCCTCAAAACCCTGAACTCTGGCTAGCTGCTGTTAGAGCAGAATTGAAGCATGGATATAAGAAAGAAGCTGATATTTTGATGGCAAAAGCATTGCAGGAGTGTCCCAACAGTGGCATTCTTTGGGCAGCATCAATTGAGATGGTTCCTCGTCCCCAGCGTAAAACCAAGAGTATGGATGCCCTCAAGAAATGTGACCATGATCCCCATGTTATCGCTGCAGTGGCCAAATTATTCTGGCATGATAGGAAGGTGGACAAAGCTAGGACTTGGCTGAATAGGGCTGTGACACTAGCTCCTGACGTTGGGGATTTCTGGGCATTGTGCTACAAATTTGAACTGCAACATGGAACTGAAGAGAACCAGAAGGATGTATTGAAGAGATGTGTTGCTGCTGAACCAAAACATGGAGAGAAATGGCAAGCAATCTCAAAGGCAGTTGAGAACTCTCACCAACCAACGGAATCCATCTTGAAGAAAGTGGTGGTTGCACTTGGGAAGGAAGAGAATGCATCTGAGAATAGTAAACATTGATTTACAAAGATTGTAGCATCTTTTATGTTCTCGGGTAGTGTCACGAACAGTTAGTTTTGAAGAGAAATTTGGATCTTTATGAATAATTGGAATGGTTGTATCTCATGTAGATTTTTGAACGAACTTATATATTAGTTGTATACTTTATCCATGTTCTCCTTTCCCTTAACACGTTTCTTTCGTCTGTAGCTTATGTACTTTATGGATTAGCCTTCTGTCATTTTACCATTCTCTTGATTTTCTGCTTTACTACATATGTTTTTAAAATGCTTGGATTGATAGTTTCAATTGTTTTGTTGAGTTTGCTAAGTGGTGAATTTCTTGGATTTGGTTAAGATTTATATATTTCAATTGGCATTATGGAACCTTTAAATAGACTAATGAAATTTGTGCTTGTATGGAACACTAGGCTGTTAGACTTTGTATTTGGATATTTTCATTTTTCACTCACTTGAAATTTCAACTGTAAGCCTTTCATGTCTGGTAGGAAGAGTGATAGGCCTGATTATTTGGATGTTAGTCAAAAGCAACCTCTCAATCAAGCTGCCAAAAGTTTGGCTGAAGATGTTATTTCAAGACATTCTGAATCTAAAGAGAGAAAGAGCAAACAGCGGGGGGAAGAATGTTCAGGTTAAGACGCTTTCTGAGCAGCTGAATGATGTTCCATTGGATAGTGATGATTTAGCATCATCAAACATTCATTTTCGAGGAATGTATCCAAGACAGGAGAAAATTATTGAGGAGGCAGAGGCCAGCATACACAGTCATGGCAGGGGAATGAATAGAGTAAAAAGGCATAAATTTCGAAGCACAAGAAGAGCTTGGGTTGCTACAGGCTACAGCATCTAGAGATATTGGAGCTGAGAATGAATTGTCTGTGGCTTCCAACTCATTGGCTCAGGGTTCAGCCCTCCACAAATATCACTCGGAGGAGGTTAATGACTGTGCAGATGAAAATGTTACTAGGGCTCCAAAAAATGGGTGTGGCATTCCTTGGAATTGGTCCAGAATTCATCATAGAGGTAAAACAATCCTTGACATGGCTGGGAGAAGTTTTTCTTGTGAGTTATCTGACTCTAGGTTAAAGAAAGGGACATTAAATGCCAATGGAAGAAATATTTCTGAGATGCCTTTGGCTTCCAAGCAATCAAGCTCGTGTACTAAATCTGATGCAGAGGCACTGCCTTTACTACCTGAGGCATCTAGATCTCATGGAAGCACGGAAAATGCTTGCTGGGACCACAATTATTCTGTGGTTTTAGGTCTCTTTGGTGATAATTTGTTCAAGCATGATATCGATTCTGACCTTGCTTCTGAAGCTAGATCTGGTGACCAGCACAAGTTGAGAGGGAATCGTCGTAGTAGACACCAAAGCTTAACACTAAATATATGCCACGAACATTCAGAGATATATGGTTGGACAGAATTTAGTGGCACAAGCTCTTTCAAATGCAGTCATGAGAAGGATAGTTGAATTGCTGTTTGTGTTTTATGGTCCCCATGGCACTGGAAAAACTTCCTGTGCTCGCATATTTGCCAGAGCTTTGAATTGCAATTCTTTATAACAGCCAAAACCTTGTGGCTTTTGCAATTATTGCATAGCACATGATATGGGCAAGAGTAGAAATATAAGAGAAATTGGTCCAGTCAGTAAGTTTGACTCTGAGAGCATCATGGATCTACTTGACAATATGATTGTTTCCCAGCTTCCGTCACAGTACAGAGTGTTTATTTTTTATGACTGTAATACTCTGTCAGCAGATTGTTGGAATGCTATATCGAAGGTCATTGATCGAGCACATAGGTGCGTGGTTTTTATCCTTGTCAGTTCTAGTCTTGATGTCTTGCCTCATATAGTAATATCCAGGTGCCAAAAATTCTTTTTCCCAAAGCTGAAGGATGCAGATATTATATATACACTGCGGTGGATTGCAACCAAAGAATGTCTAGAAATTGATAAGGATGCCATGAAACTCATTGCATCAAGATCAGATGGATCATTGAGAGATGCTGAGATGACCCTTAAACAACTTAGTTTGCTTGGGCAGAGAAATTGGTAGGGCTTATCTCTGATGAAAAATTGGTGGATCTGCTTGATTTGGCATTATCTGTAGACACAGTTAACACTGAAGAATTTGAGAGTGATCATGGAAATTGGTGTTGAGCCATTGGCTTTAATGTCACAGCTTGCTACCGTAATTACTGATATACTTGCTGGGACCTATGATTTCACAAAAGAAAGGCGAAGAAGGAAGTTCTTCCGGAGACAGCCATTGTCCAAAGAAGACATGGAAAAGCTTCGCCAAGCTCTGAAAACTTTATCTGTTGAGGATGTCCAGTGGCTAACGTGGTTGAGAGCTGCATTGCTTCAACTTGCTCCTGACCAGCAATATGTGATGCCTACTTCATCTGATAATAGTTTCAACCATAGTCCCTTGGCTCTAAAAAATGCTTTGGGAGAGGCTATATTAATTGTTTTATATATCTCTAACATGGTATATTTGGAATCTTTCAGAGATATACTATAACTCAAGATTATAAGCTTACTGGTTTATAGTAGGTGGAAAAAAAGGTGCAAGGACAATTGGACAGGAAAAGTTTGTCTTTTTATACAAATAAAATGGATGACACTAATTTTTTCTTTTGGTTTCTTTTGTCCAGAGACAAATCCTGTCATTGCTATAATAATACTTCACATCAGGTTTTCATTTTGTATTTGTAATCCCCATATACATGCTGGATTGAACATTTGTTTGTGGGATACACTGCCTTACCCGTTTAATGAGCAAAACACTATTGGTATGCCTCTACCATTTTGCAGATGGTTGCATCAACGCTAGAAATGGCGGAGCCTTGCTCTGGTGTAAATGTCTGTAAATTCCTGTAACGTTGGGTAGGTAGCAGCAAAATAACTTAAATGCCTTTCCTTAGGTCTTCCTGAATATTACTCTATTCCTTCCCTTGCGGCTTTTGGTCCTGTTGCAATATCTCCTTTGATTTAGAGAGATATGCTGCGATATCTTGTCCAACTCAAGAGATATTGTTTGCAATTATTCTCTCTTTATTTTACTGTATATTGTTTCCCTATATATTGTAGATTCCTTTGCTTATTTACATTAGTCAACTACCATTAGTTTGGTAGAGATCTGTTATCTTAATTGTAATAATAAATTGTACTTCAATTATGGGTGATGTCTCTATATAATAGGCAGCTTGCCTCTGAGGAAAATAACTCAGATTCAGTTTAGAACCTTTATCGTTCAGGTCCTTTTGGGGGTTTAGTTCCCCCCCCCCCCCCCCCTACAATTGTGTAATGGAAAATTAGTACTTATTTCATCCTAGGTAATTGTTGCAAATGCAATTCCTCCGTATTTTAAGATGCATTTGACATTTCATTAGTTGAGAAAAATCAGAAGATATATTATGGTCTTTTTGGGATCCATTTGTACTGACAGAAATTGCTTGGGCTGAATTAATTGGTTTTGGAAATTGACATTCATTTTTAAGTGTTTTGCTAACTATAGTGAAACATCTGATCATCGATGGATGTTGAAATGGTTTTCTATATGGATTATTTAAGTGCTGACAAAGTAGATCATCACAAAATATGCTTTATTTTTCACAATTGATGAATGTTTATGAAGATATTTTCTGCCGCTTATTTTTCAGCATTTTGATGTTCCAGGGTCATTTTGCCAAACAGAAGACTATCGTCATAATTGTCAAGTATATATAGGTTTGTAAAGATTAGACTTGACATAGTATTGTATGTTGATAGACACACAGACACACCGAAATTTCAAGTATTGCCTCATCTTTTCTGTTTTATGGATCAAACTTATATGATACGAGCTATGCAAAGTAATGCTGTTGACAACATGTATCAAAGTGTTGTTCAAGGAGAGGCTGAATGTCCCCAACCAACATAACTACCTGCCACCCCTGTTTGAGTTATAATGCACACGTGTGAATATAAATGTCTCATTGGTTACCGAGGTTATAAGCGTTTTTGTTCTTTAAACCCTTTTGATTTGTGAAAAGGGGTTATATGGATACAGACAATTCGCACTTAGAAAGAAATTTGTGTTTGCAAAGACATTTCACATATGTCATTAATAATTGCTGATTAATTTAATCTTATAAATCACCAAACTTAATTCTTAAATAAGTGCTTCTCAAAAGAGTTTAGATGCTATTTGGCTTATTTTAGACTGTTCATCACTGTAGAATAATCTTGTACTCGAATAAGTTCTTATGTAAGTTACTTATTGAAATAGAAAGGAGCTCAGAGATCACACCAGCACAAGAGAATCGCTTGTCAAGCATCATATTCAGCCTCACAACAGACAATCAGATACTTTGTTTGTCAAGGAACTCAATGATAAGCTGGTTCACCTTATCTGGAAATTGTTCATGCACAAAATGGCTTCCTTCTGGAATATGTATGATTTCCAAGTCTGGCACAAAATGTTTCACCATCCCACTTCGGATGTAGTCCTCCATGCCAGGAAACTTGAATACATAATCTTTCTCACCCATGATCAGCAGTGCTGGAATAGTGACTTTAGGATCACTTATGCCAACATCATCTTTGAGAGTCCTGCATGGATTCATAAACAATGCTTTCTAAAATTATACAGGTATGTACCCTAAACTAAGGACAGGTTTAGAGCACTGGAACAATAGACTTTAAGAAACCTGGTTTTAGGAAAATGCCATGTCTCATACAGAAGAAGTAATCTTGGTTGTAATATATTTGGAGCAGCATTTCACTCCATGAGGATACTTGAATATGAAATAATATGTTGTGTATTAATCTAATACAAAGAGTTACAATATATAGAGACCCTAATGGGCTTAAGTGAGAAGTCTAGATCTAATCCAAAAAGAATATTTATAGATAGGAAGTAATCTATTCAAATCTAATCATATCTATTCTAACACTCCCCCCATATGTAAAGAACCAATTCAACCCAAAAGCTTAAGCTGTTGGGTGAGGCTACATTAATGGTTTTATATATCTCAACAAGGATAAAAAATGAATTCCATTTTTTACAGATTTCAAAATGAGGAGTAGGACTGTGAGAGTCTTGATTACCTGTATGGAACCTGCAATGCAAATCTGAATCCAGATTTTTCATATAGTGATGCATAGGTTGCAAGGTCTTCCTCAGAGAACCATGGTGGCAGAGGAGTAGTTGGGTTAAACAAGTCCATGATTTCCTGATTATCACCTGCTACTGGTATCTCACTTCCAGAAAAGAGAATGTAGATGTTCCTTATAACTGACTTAACATCAAAGCGGTCAAAATCTGCTTCTGCCCTCCCAGGCTCCTGGAATCAGTTAATCATTACTTCATTGTTGACACATGGAGAGGAAGATAAAAATGATGATGACAGAGAATTTGCACCTGAAACCTAGTAATGTAGAAGCCTTTTGGGAGAAGGTGGTTTTGGACAGCAGAGGGACCCGGAAGCATGAAAGGAATGCCTAAAGTTACGACAGAAACTACTTTTTCTGGATGGACAGCAGCTACAAGATATGCTGGGAGGGCACCAAAGTCCTTACCAACAAGGAAAGCCTGATACAAACAATTGAAATTGCACATGCTATTAGACAAGTTTTTCACCTTAATCAAAAGGGTCTTGTTTTTCATTCCCCTTTCCTCTTCCACTCTTTCTTGCCGTGACATAATGCTTACAATCAATAAATCAAAAAAAGTATAAGAGATAAACCAATCCTTTGTTTGTGTTTTCTATCTTGTTCTCTTTACTTGCTATTTGGGCTAGGGGCTGTTATATAGTTCAGCTGAAGTTCATGATTTGGATATGGAAATTTGTTTATGGACATATAATTCTATGTATCTAGAAGATCACGCAGCTTGACAAATAGATAAAAGATACTACTAAGAAAATTTTTATTGTACAGCACATGTTGCTTCTTACCTTGCTGATGCCTAATGAATCCAAAAGACCCACAATTTCATCAACAAGGTCATATAACTTTGCTTTTTCAATCTCCGCTGGATGCTCAGAAAGTCCATAGCCTCTAAAATCAAAGGCAATAGCCCTGTAGCCAGCATTTGCCACAGCAATCATCTGGTGCCTCCATGTATACCATATTTCAGGAAATCCATGTAAGAAAACCACAGCCTTCTGACCTACATGAATAGAAATATCACTAAAGTGAAGTATGAGGAAACGAATTAATCAAAATTACTTCTGATAGGGGTGTCCAAAGGAGTTACCACTTCCAATCTCAGCTACATGGAGCTTCAGTCCCTTCACGTTCACGTAGCTGTGCTGGATTTTCTCCATCTTAGATGCAGTGTGTTTGTCTACAGAGTAGTTTGTCTTTGTATGTGAGGAAAAGAGACAGATTAGGTGAGGAAGTTATGAGGGACAAAATATAAAAATGAAAAAGTAACGGACAAAATGACAAATGAAGAACCTTATGGGCAGATACAAACAAATGAAATTGGATCTTTCGATACTGTTCCTTAAAGAGTACCAAAATTTTTTCAATGGATATTCTTTGATGCTCTTTGACTAACATATAAGTATAGGTGGTTATCATGCGTGTATTATTATTTTGCAGAGTAATTGATTGAATACACTAGTTTTCTTGGTTGCAGTTATACTTGTGCTAAAGAGGGTGATATATAATAGTCCTTCACATCCCAACCGATGTTGATTTTTAACTCAGGAAAATGATCAGCATCCACCAACCACATATGAAGCCATATATCACTGCCATGTGTCATCAATTTCCTCAGCAGGAGATTAAAGAAAACGGCAGATGAAATGATCCTTTCCTTTTGCTATTGCAAACGTATTTAAACAATATTCATAGGGTTTTATTAACGTTATGTTACATAACTTCAGTTTTGTTTCCAACACACACAACAAAAGGGAGAGAGAAAGTGGAATGATGAAAGAGAAAAAAAACATGTGGACCCCACCTCTTTAATGTGTGTGTAGGAAAATGAAGTTGTGTTATGTTACATGATAAACATAAAACCCATATTCATATAGCAATTGATTTATACAACAGCTTCTTTTTAATGTTAAAAACGTCTACAAAAGCAAACATAATATGTTCTGGGTTCTGACCTTTTGTCTATTGCTTTTGCCATGATCATTAGAACAATCAACAAGTTCATTCCAGCAACATAGCCACCAATAAATCAAGAAAGTATTCCCTTACTTTTTCTCCAATGGTTTTCCTAGCGAAAGACAACAAAATTAAAGAAACTGTAATACTACTGCATTATTTTTCCTTCAATCTTTTTTAAGTTTCAATATATATAGAGAGAGGGGAACATAATCATATTATATCAGCACAAATTACAGTCAAAATCTTAGTAATTGATTTCACTTGCATCTGCGTGACTAATAAATTAGAATCATTAGGTACAAGTAGATCAACAATTAAAATTTTGTATAAGAATTGATATTCTCATACCAGTAAGTCAATCATGTTTCACAAATAGGACCATAAATTAAAATTTCCAAGTATAATAAAATCTGGCGTGTTAACACAACAACTGAAGATAAAAATATAAAGATAACACCAATGATGTGCAAGAATTATAAGAACTTGATCGCATTTGAAGCCATTGGCTATTTTTTTTTTGTCACAACAACTACCTTCATCCAATACAGAATGCCCCCGAGATCTAGGCTAAAATATAGGAACATGCCAGTGATTGGACTTTATTTACATGTAAAAGAATGTTTCATGTTCATCTCCGCAGCTTTTATAACAGAAGTTTAACCTATTTTGCTTGTAAAAATATCCGAGTACACAAGGTGTACCTATGTACAGTAGTATTAACATCTCTAGAAGAAATTTTGAATGTTCAATTGTCTGACTGTATTGCCATTGAGAAGCCCCACAAACTTAGGATTCTCAGGTTATTCACATAATTTAAACATAACTCAAGCTACACCGAAACTCCTGCTAGAGAAGTTACATGCGTCAATGAACATAGTGTTGACATAGGAGTTAGTACTTAGTAGCAATGCCTGACCAGCTTCTGCTTGTAAACTCAATCCCTCAATTTACTTTAAAGAGATATGTGTACAAATTTCGGATATGTTTTGACAATGTTTATGACAATAACTTCAAACTGAAACTTACAAAATGAGGCTCCACTAATTGTTCACTAAAAAATGTTTGATCAAGAGCAGGATGGGAGCTCGTTGTCAATCACATCTTAACATTGAAGCATATACACAATGATATACCATATATGAAACGAATTTATCAATAGTAATCTGTTAAAGTAATTTCCATTTTAATACATTCATTCATGTATTACATTTTTAATAATGGCTGTTAGTTGTTACTATAAGTTCTCAGAACATCTAAAAGAACCATGTGGCCTGGTGACAAGATCTTATCTGCCTAATATCTCTTTCCAGATACAATGCTACCACTATTATATTCTTAAATGTAATTAAAAGAAAAAAAATAATGGTACAATAAGGAAAATTTTGCGTATACAGTAAGAATGAAACGTACAAATACACTTGATGATATGATATTTAATTGTAATTGTTTGTGATGATATTATTTGAAGGGAGAAATGACCCCAAAAAGGGAGAAATGTATTTTTTTGTAATTTTAATTTAGAGTAAATATCATTTTTAGTCCTTAGCAAATTTTACGATGCCCGCTTTAGTCCCTAGCAAATAAAAAAACCCATCGTGGTCCCTAAGAAATTCAAAATGAACCCATTTAGTTGAAATCATGGTCCCTCACAAATTCAAAAAAGATCCATATTAGTCCTCAAAAGGACTAAAATGGGTCCGTTTTGAATTTTTTAGAGACCACGATGGATCTTTTTATTTGCTAGGGACTAAAGCGGGCATTGTGATATTTGCTGAGGACCAAAAAAAGTATTTACTCTTTAATATATTTTGGGGCTATATTAGTCTTTATTATAATATTCTAAATTTGTTTAATTAGAAGATTGCATGAGATTAAATAATTAATTATGTATTATGAGGTTTAATTAAGTAAAAGGCTTAATTAAAGGAATACAAGTCACTTTTGTAGTAAAATGTGCAGTTAGTGAGACTTTTGGGGTAAAAATATGTGTAGGCAAAATTACTCGGAATGTAAAAGTAAATTAGGGAATATGACAATAAAAATATCTCAGACCAATAGGTAAAGTTTGAAAGTGAGTTGAGGTAACTAGATAGATAATTTTTTACCTAGTTAAAAGTTACCTAACCAAAGTTAAGTCATTTTACTAAGTTTTCCTCACTTTTCCCTAATTCTCTCTTCGTGCTTCTTTTTCTTCTTTTTTTCCCCAACCGTGCCACCATTGAAGAGGGACCAAGAAACCTAGCCTTAGGGCTGTGCATGGGTCATGTTTTGTGCCGACCCGACCCGACTTGCTTATATGGGTCAGGTATTTTGACCCGACCCAGTTTATTTAATCCAAGTCAGGTTTGACCCGATTTGAATATTTCTTGAACTGGATCATGACTGACCTGAATTGGTTTTTAAAGTGGGTCTGACTTGGTTTCAAAATTGGGTCAAATTCGACCTGACCCACTTTTGACTTGGTTTCAAAACATTTTTTTTTAGTTATTGATTTGATTTTCAAACTCCAGTAATTTAATTATTTATTTATTTTAAAATATATAAATTATATAATAAATTTAATATTTGTTGAATAAATAAAGGAATGTAAAATTTGTAGCAAAAAAGTTATTTAACTTTAAAATCCAAATACCATATTTTATCAAAAAAATCTTAAATGCTAAAAAGTATTTTTTTTAAAAAATTTATATGATCTACAATTTAAATTAATGATATTTATATTATCTTAATTAAATTTATATTATCTTAAATGCTAAATTAAACATTGGAATTCAAAGATCAACAACAAATAAAAGCACAAGATAATTTATATAATCATATAAACTTGCAATCATTGAAGCAAAGGTTCAAATACACAATTGCAAATAAGGATGTAAACATATCCTGGTCTCAACGGGTGTTACAAGGCCTTTTGAAGAGTGTTCCTACTTGAATTAATAAATCATATAACCCCCCTTCTGTACCCTTCTCATCCAGATTGCCTAAGTCAAAACCAAATAACCAAATCAACACCCAAATTTGTAAACGCAAGTGATATATAACTAGCAATATTGTACAATATATAATATCAGATATATCAACCAAGCCCCCTGTAGAATTGAAATAATAAATTATTAAGCTCAGATATTCTACTCTATGCCGAGAAGAAGTATATTAAGCCTACAATTTTCTTATTTCATTTTCATTATGAAGGCGTCTTCATTATGAAACTCTTATTATTCATCTTCTGAACAAGTTTGGACCAAACACAGCAAATTGTAATTCTTTCATCAATCTTGAAATACAGATAATGGGAGGAGGAAAACAAAAAAGAAAAGCAAGGTTTTTCTCCCTTCCGAATAATCATTAAGAAGAAAATTTCAAAGCAATACAAGAAATGACTTCTAATATTAGATTTTTCAAAAAAGTGGGTTGGTCACATGCTGTGAAAATTGATTGGTCAATATAGCTAGTTTTTTTAAATCAAAATTTCTAAAAACCCAGTGAACTATAGAACGAGTTTAGAGATGGAAGATTTTATAGAACTCAAACCTATTCACAGGGTATTATAATACTATATTCAAAATTAAAATACACCTAATTTACCAAAAAAAATAAAAAAAATCAAGTTTTTGCATGTTAGACATTATGAAATCTAATTCATCTGAAATATATATAATAATATATGAGCTAGTAAGACAATGTTCATTAAGATCACATGACGCAGAGAAAAAGAAACAGAAAGAGCAGAGAGAGCATTTGACCTTAATTACCATGTTTTGTTATGATTGATCAGTAGCAACAATCAATCAGTAGCAACAGAGGTCACACGTCCACATTTTGTTGGGAAAGGGAAAGCATCGTCGTCCCTACAAAAGAAGAAAATCATCTCATAAGTTATAAAATTAAAGTATAATAATTAATAACTATCAATTAATCTCATTATATTACCATGTTCAACTTTCTGAAGCTCCTCCTCTAAGCCATCAGTTGAACGCATTTCGAAGGGAGTTCCTTTCAGCCAATCTTGCGTGCAAATAAGGGACTCCACTGTTTGAGGTGTTAAGCAACAACGATAATGATCAAGCACCCTTCGTCCAGTACTAAATGCGGACTCAAAGGCTACAGTTGAGACAGGTATAGCCAACACCTCTCTAGCAATATTTGCTATGACTGGGAATCGACTTGACTGTACCTTCCACCAAGCCAAAATATCAAAACTTGGAGAGGGA